CTCTTAAATCTGTTTAGCAGGGGTTGGTGGAGGTTTGCCCGGTGCTGCATCGGTCATGTCAGTGGGGGGATCCGGGGGTTTCTCTGTGAATTTCACATTCCCGTGGCATCGTGCTCGGTGCTTGCTCAGAATTTTAGGGGATTTTTTTGCTGTAAAAAGAAGTTTACTTCCAGAAATATGAAAGGTACGATAAGAATAATAATTATGACAAACAAACAACAATAATAATAATAATAAAATACAAGTTAAAGTGTCAGTTACCCACTGAGTGAAAGGCCAGCGAATAAAAATAAGTTTTTAATCTGGATTTAAAAACCAGCACTGATGTAGATGGCCTAATGTGAAGAGGAAGATCATTCCAAAGCTTCGGAGCCACAATAGAGAACGCTCGGTCTCCTCTAAGTTTCAAACGTGATTTAGGGACTGAGAGCAACAGCTGCTCAGCTGACTGGAGTGAACGAGAGGGGACATAGCACTTCAGCAGATCAGTCAAGTATATATAATGCCAGACCATTTAAAGATTAAAAAACTAATAAAAGGCTTTTAAAGTGGATCCTAAAATCAATTGGAAGCCAGTCAGAACCGGAGTAATATGCTCAAATTTCCTTTTACCAGATGAAGATCTTCAAATAAAATAAACTTTGCATCTTGTATAACGTGTTCTAGGTTTTCATCCCTTTCTCATGCCACTATGAATATTTGCATTATAATTTTAGTTTACGTGGGATAAGTGAAGACTTCGTTTTAGGAATTCCCACCAGGCTGTCAGAGACATGCTTATGTTAAGGCTTTTAAAGCACGTATGATGTTTAATACTGGAGCTTATGAAAGGCAAATTAGAACTTTTTACTTTTCCACCAAATGGCAAAACATAAACCATTAATTTTCTAAATATCATTAATTTCCTGGTTTATTGGTAACAGCTTCTGAAAAGCAAGTCTATGACAGATCTGTTTGACCAACACCAGCCAATCAGCAACACCTGTTAATGTGAAACAACAGTCGAAGTTGATAACTTAACTGGTGTGACGTGATTTTAGCTCATTTCGTTAACGTGTATGCTCCCGAGTGGAAGCATTTTGGTGTTGGTTGTGTGCAGTTGTTTCTGAATGACTTAAAACTGTTTTAGTGATGATGCATGTTGAGCAGATGTGTGTTTGAGCGTTAGTTTGTGTCTTTTAACAGTAATGTTTAACTGCTAATACCAAGTAAGTTAAAGGTGCCATGTGCATTGGAAAGTAGTAACCACTACTGACGATGTGTCCCAAATTTTAATATTATAAACTAGATCAGATCTCTAATCCCTAAATCTAAATAAGAAAGGTAAAAAAAAAAATGGCAGACTAGCTTGGATAAAAGACCAAATCACCCTGAAGTTGAGGCACACAACGATGTGACCCACTGGTAAAGTTTCTGGGCTGCCTTTCCTCATAATAGCCATCCCTCAAGACTTTCTCCATTTGAAGCAATGCATTATAATAATAATAATAATAATAATAATAATAATAATAATAATAATAATGGATTGCATTTATATAGCACTTTTCGAGACCCTCAAAGCACTTCACAATTCCACTATTCATTCACTCTCACATTCACACACTTTTATCAGGGATTGTAACATCTAGTCCTTTTACTGAATATGTTATTATTAATGTTATTCCTGGGGCCATATTCTTTATTAAACTAACATATATGTATTGAGTGTATTAAGTCAGATTTTTATTTTGCACTTTTATTGTTATCATGTTGTTCCTATGTGTGTGTAGCATATAAAATAGGTTATGTATGATCCTCTTCTATTTAAAGGGCTTTTTGACCCATTTGACAAAATGCTAATCTTTGACTGGCTTTGGGAACTTGCTGTTGGTAACAAACAAATGCAATGCTCAGTGGAGTTGGTCTGATAAAGTAAAATAGAGAAAGGGGAGGGGAAAGAAGGAAAAAGTGGTCATTGAGTGAAATCCAGTTCAATTATCCAGGTAGATTTTAGAATCTCTTTCAAGTCAGGGCAAACTACAAAATTGAATAAGCAGCTTGACAAAAGGTTTATTTTAATGTTGGATGCATGTTCCATTTGAGTTATTTGTTAAAACTCTTAAATCCTAGAGGATATAGATACATCAGATCATTTGGCACGGCAGTGAACTTGGAAAGAAAGATTCTGCGTCATATTTTTCCTCATCAAAAACCTCCAACATGCTCAAATACGTTCTGTATGTCCACCACTGCAGCACTCTTTTATTACTGCTCTTATTTGGCTATACACGTCAACAAAATTGACTTTTTCCTGCATAAATCAAGACAACTGACAAAAGCACATGTAACATGAGAGCTCACGCTATGCAGGGACATTGGGTACAATGGAAGACAACAGAGAACAGACACAAACAGGATTTAAATACACAAAAGGAGATTAGTGCAAAGTGGAGACACCTGGGAAAAAACACGCAGCTGAGCCGAATGTAATCCCTGTCTCTAATGAGACAGGGGAAGCAAAACTGAACATGACACACATGGGATGTGTGACTATCAAGATAAAACAGGAATGAACAAGCACTGAGACCAGATCTAAGACATACTAACTTAGACCTGGTCTTAAACACAACAGGAAAACTGGACAACCATCAAGACAGGACAAGACTGGGGAGGGAAAAAACTTTCCAAAAACTTAGTTATGTCCAAAAGCTCTTCATTTCGTCCTCATGCTGAGTGTTCAGGACGCGCTGTCTACAACGGCTCTCCCTCTCACCCTTTACCCACCCCTGTTGAGTCAAGACTCAAGAATCAACATAGAGGGCAGCCTTGTGGGAATTTGAACAGCCGTTTCCGCTTTCTTTATTCTTTGATAAGGCAGGGCCAAGCCAGTACCTATCAGCAAGAACCCTGTTATCATGGTTCCAAAAAGGTAGATGTCTTCAATGTCCTCGGTCAACAGTCCCACCAGGGACACGACCCTCCATTCCTTCCACCCATCCATCATGTATCCGGCAGAGAACGTCCCTCCAGGACACACGGTCTCTCCCGAACCCAGGCTTCTCGTCGAGAAGAGGGTGTCAATTGCATTCAGGGGCCAGTTGATCAAATCCATAATTCCTCTTTTAGGTTTTAGAGAACAGACTGTGAGACTCTTCCAGGGTAGAGAGAGAGAGAAGTAGACAAGACTAGACAGAGACATGAGAAAGCCAAGCAGGAAAGATAAAGGAAGGGAGAGAGTGCGACTGCCTTCGTCAAGAGCCAGAGAAGTTACTTGTCATGTGTTGCTTGTCATGTGTTTCTATGGTGTAATAACAGCCATGTGCTTTTTTGTGCTGAGGTGATTTTTTTTCTGCTCTCAAACTGTTCTCCCATTAGGAGCTCAGTCTAGGTGGAGTTTTTTCTCCTCTCACCTCATGTTTAATTTTGTTGTTCTTTCCTATCAGCCTACCTCTCTGACCTGTCTCCCCAATGTGATGTGTGTCTAAAGTATGTTTGGTCAGAAAGTTCCTTGTAAGTGCGCATGTGCCAACTAGCATGCTGCCTGCTGTAACCCATAATTTCCTTCGGGATTAATAAAGTATATCTGATTCTGTTAGTGGGGATAGGTTAATTGATTAATCTAAATTGCCCATAGGTGTGAATCTGTGAGTGAATGCGAGTGCGAATGGTTGTCTGTGTTTCTATGTGTTAGCCCTGTGACAGACTGGCAACCTGTCCAGGGTGTACCTCTCACCCTATAACAGTTGGGATAGGCTCCAGCGCCCCCCGCAACCCTGGAACGGAAAGGCGGAAGCAAATGGATGGATGGATGATTCTGATTCTGAAAAAATAAATAACCACAAAAACCTTTAAATATCTCTTTATTTACCATTTAAGAACACATAACCCATACTCATTTACAACAGAACTAAACAATAAATAACAATACAGGCATGACATTTCCCCTGAAGTTAAGCAGAAATCAGCATGGCAACACAAAGTGATTTCAAGTCCACCATGACATAATTATTGGTTTTTAATAATAAAATAATAATTATTACAATTGTAATATTGTAAACAACAGACCTTTACATTTGATGTTTGTTACATGTTCAACACTAGAACAACTGGAAAATATGAGTTCAGATAAATACAGGGATTTAAATAACTCAGAGATTCATCAATATATCATGGAAATGAGGTAATAATTTAAATAAACAATTCTCAAAGCTCTTGGATAACAGTTTACCTCACAAGTTGAATAGATTAGTATATGCTGTAATATTGCATGCTGTAACTCATGTTTGATTCCTACCTGATTCCTTTTGCTGTGCCTATTTTTCTATTCACTTGTCATGCTCTCCCTATTGTCTTCACTATGCTATCTGATAAACATGAAAGTGCTCCAAAGAATTCTGTCTTTAAGTGTTTTAGACAGAAACTATACCATAGATAAGAATGGGGTCTTTTCCCTCAGGTCTTGCAGTGATTTTGTTTCTCACCTGTGTGAGAAACAAACTTGTGACAGTAGCTCTCCCACATTTTGTAAGAGTGAAACTTTCAACCAGTATGAATTCTCATGTGTCTTTTCAACTGTGTCGTGTAACGAAATCTTTTCTCACA